AAATAAAGAAAAAAAGGAAAAAAAAAGAAAAGAAAAAGGTGAATGGGGCAGACCTTTTAGTTTTTCTTCCTTCCTCCCTCCCCCCCACCTCTCTCTGTTTCTTTCTCTTTCTTTCTTTTCTTTCTCTCTCTCTCTCTTTCCCTTCCTCCCTCCCTCCTCCCTCCCTCCCTTCCTTCCTCCCTTCCTTCCTTCTAGATAGTGTCTCACTATGTCACCCAGGCCGAAATGCAGTGGCATGATCATGGCTCACTGCAGCCTCAAACTCCTGGGCTCAAGCCATCCCCTCACCTTAGCCTCCCTAATAACTAGGATTATAAACATGCGCTACCACACCTGGTTAATTTTTACATTTTTATTTGTAGAGATGGGGTCTGTGTTGCCCAAGTGGTCTTAAACTCCTAGTCTCAAGCAATCCTCCTGCCTCAGCCTCCCAAAGTGCTGGGATTACAGGTGTAAGTCACGGCACCCAGCCCCATTCACCTTCAAACTGACAGATGGACAGACATTTTTTTTTTCTAGCAGGACCAGATAGAGACTTGGAGGAAACACTTTTATGACTTGTCCAGAGACTCCCTGGGCTGGAAGGAATCTGGCTTCTGCCTCTGGGAGATCAGCAAGTAGGGCAAGTCTTCATCTGGGGCCATGGCCAAGGCTGGCTGGGTCCCAGGCTGGGGACACTGTAACCCCTGACCCTTTGCCAGACCCCAGCAGCTCACCCTGGGCTGACTGTCTTGGAAGAGCTGAATGTCCCAATTTTCTTCAGGATTTTTTCTTAGGTTAATCTGTGTTGCTATTGCCCATGACCTGCTCACCACCTTCTGAAAAAAAAAAATGGCTTTCTCTCTTTCTCCCAGATCTCACAGTCCTCTGTGACTGTTCCTGACCCCATCAGATGGGGGGCCTGAGCCCGGAGTGCTGAGCTGGTCGGTAGGGTGCAGCACATTCCTCATCTGGAGCTGACACCTTTAGGACTTTCTTCCCAGTTGTCTTCTTCGGGCTTCCTCCTCCGCACCCTGTCACGCCGAAGCCTCTCACACTCAGGAGTTTCTCCTTCCAGTAAGAAGGCCTGTGTATGTATTGGCTTAGGGGAATGGGAGGTGAGGGTATGATGCCTGTATCAGCTTACACAGCCCCAGAAAAAAAGACTGGCTTTTTGGCTTCTAGTACCTCCAACTTCTCTCTGTCCAAAGGATGGGGGGCAATCCCAGGTATGGTGGCTGGTGTGCAGGATGAGACCTCTGGACTGCAGACAAAGGCATTGCCAGCAGAGCTGAGGGCACAGGCCCAAGTCTGGAGTCAGTGGACTTGTACTGGAGGAGGACATGCAAAAGTCATCCTCAGATCTGTTCCCCCTAGAGCAAACTTGTCCAACCCACAGCCTGAGGAGTACATGTGGCCCAGGACAGCTTTGAATGCGGCCTGACGCAAATTTGTAAACTTTCTTAAAACATGAGATACTTTTGCGATATATATATTTTTAGTTCACAGCTGTCAGTGTTAGTGGGTTTTTGTTGCTGTTGTTTGGAGGAAGTCTCGCTCTCTCAGGCTGGAGTGCAGTAGTGCGATCTCCGCTCACTGCAACCTCCCCGTCTCCCAGTTCCAGCGATTCTCATCCCTTAGCCACCCGAGTAGCTGGGATTATAGGCTCGAGCCACCATGTCAGCTAATTTTTGTATTTTTGTAGAGACAGGGTTTCGCCATGTTAGCCAGGCTGGTCTTGAACTTCTGACCTTGTGATCCACCCTCCTTGGCCTCCCAAAGTGCTGGGATTACGAGCATGAGCCACTGCGCCTGGCCCATGTTAGTGTATTTTATGTGTAGCCCAAGACAGTTCTTCTTCCAATGTAGCCCAGGGGAGCCAAAAGATTAGATATCCCTACTTAGAGTCTGGCTCTGCAGAAACTCCCAGGCTTCAGGAATCTACCTCATCCCACAGGGCCACAGGGTTGCCTTGGGGGTGTGGTGGGGTTGCCCTACCCTCTTTAAATGCCCTAAGGGTCCTGACAGTTACAGACGGATACCCAGCCTCAGCTCCAGCCCAGCCCTACTGAAGCATTAGCTCTGGAGTGCTCTAGGGCAGTAGCGGGTAGGGAAGGGGTCTTCTCTGATTGAAAATCTGAAGAGAAGAAAATTGTGTGGGCCCGCCAGATGCAGTGGCTCATGCCTGTGATCCCAGTACTTTGGGAGGCTGAGGTGGGTGGATCACCTGAGATCAGGAGTTCGAGACCAGCCTGACCAATATGGAGAAACCCCATCTCTACTAAAAATGCCTAATTGGTTGGGTGTGGTGGTGCATGCCTGTAATCCCAGGTACTGGGGAGGCTAAGGGAGGAGAATTGCTTGAACCGAGGAGGTAGAGGTTGTGGTGAGCCGAGATTGTGCCATTGCACTCCAGCCTGGGCAACAATAGTAAAACTCCGTCAAAAAAAAAAAAAAAAAAAGGAAAATTGTGTGGGCCTGTAGCCTTTTCTTTGTGTCTCTCAGCTCTTTCCCCAAGGACGTTTTCCCTGAGGTTTCATCTAAATCCTCCCAGCTGTGGTTCTAGCCCATTCTTTAGCTCGTGGCACACACTGCAGACCTCTGAGATACCCACCTGTGCAACCTGTGTGGGAATGGACCAGTAAGGTGCAGATCTGTGGAAAGAGCCAAGGATGAGGAAACTGTATCAGTTCAAAGCCCATCACGAATCAGCCCCTTCATCCCTCTCAAAGGTCAAAAGCATGATGGGGCCTGGAGGAGTGTTGGCATTCAGGGAAGAAGGCAGTGAGGATTTGGGAGCAGTCCACCCTCCTCAGTCACATCTCAGATCTCCTTGCTGAAATAAGGTCTCAGCTGGGCCGACAGAAAACGAGGAACCTAGGCACCTGTAAGAGGTGTCAGGCCTTATCCATTCTCCCGTGTGCCCCTCCACCCCAAGCCCGACACCAGCCCTCTGTATAGGGGCAAAATTTTGTCCATTCTAAATGACCGTTTCCTCCTTTTCTCCAGGACACTGGGCATTAACTGGATATCAGCCTGTTCAGGGGACCTCAGGCTTGAGACAGAAATGAGGAAGCACGGGGGTCAAAGGCTCCTTCCTGGTAGGAGCGGGGAAGGAATGGCTTCCCCAGAGGGCAGGGAAGGAGAAAAAAAGAAGAATGGTTTCCCCCGCTATAGCTCCAGAAACCTCATTTTCATGGCCCCTACTACTTAGGGAACTGGGAATTTGTGCCAGTTGGTGGTGGCTCCGCAGTAGGCAATCTGAAGGCCTGGGGTGGGGGTAACGAGGGGAGTGTAGGGATCACCCCTATTCATTGATGCTTCCCACAGCTAATGTGCTGGTCAAGGCGTTTTACATGTTTTCTCTTATAGAACCTGCAGACTACTCATTTAATTAGGTCTAATCATGATTTCTATCTTACAGACGAGTAAAGAGAGGCACATACAATGATAATAGAAATTAGAATAGTAATAATAATGATAAATTTTTTTTTTTTTAAACAGAGTTTTGCTCTTGTTGCCCAGGCTGGAGTGCAATGGCATGATCTTGACTCACTGCAAACTCTGCCTCCTGGATTCAAGGGATTCTCTTACCTCAACCTCCCAAGTAGCTGAGATTACAGGCACACCACACCATGCCCAGCTAAGTTTTGTATTTTTAGTAGAGATGGGGTTTCACTATGTTGATCAGGCTGGTCTTGAACTTCTGAACGCCTCAGCCTCCCAAAGTGCTGAGATTATAGGTGTGAGCCACCATGCCCAGCCCAACAATGATAAAATTTTAACAGCTT